AAAAATTCATTACCCCATTTCGTCTTTTCCAAATGGAGTTTTAGATAATTTTGATAATCGCTTAGCATACTCTTCTTCAATTAATGCCCTATAATTGAACATTTGTTAAAGCATGTATATTTATGTATATTAATCCAATTAAATGATAAGATCATATTCTTTAACACAACCTTTCATGAAATAAATTCTTTACTTCTTCGCATGTCTGCTTTGCTTGTTTTAGACGTGTGGTAAGTACCTCGAAGCCAGCATCGTCTTTACCCTAAATTTAAATAAATTTAAATTAATAAAATAAATAAATATTTAATAATAAAGAACAATAAAATCAAATATTGTTTAAACTCACCCAAAAACAATTTGCAAATATGTTTTTTTGACGTTCTGCGTCGTTCACATTCTGAGAGACGCTCGCCATAACTAAGTAAATATGATTCGTAGCTCGGGCTTTAAATGAATGAATAATTCAATGCAAAATTTTAATTTGCAAATTCTAACAGGGGTAATATTAACAATTTGGTATCGGTGAGAAAATTAGACCAGTTCAAATGCGTAAAGAATAACAATTTTTACATTCACACATTTTGTTATTAACCGTTTGTTGTACAAAAATCGTAACGCATTTGAACTTCATTGAACATCATTTTAGTCACGTGATGGACTATGTTTCATTATATAGATTTTCTGAACTTTTATCGTTATCGTTATGATTATCCGAGCCCAAAAAAATAATGGTACTTCCAAACAAGAAAAAAATAAAATTAATCGTGTAAAAAATAAAAATAAAAAGAAAAAATAAGTGGAGTGTGTTTTCTGTACACTATAAAATGGGTTTCCATCAAACTTGTATCCGCAAATAAATAAATAAATAAATACAAAATTAATAATAATTATCTTTGTCATAATTTAACACGTGGGATGATAATAATTTTTTCATTACGATAATTCTTTAATCCAGTCATCACTAACGCTAAGGTGGTAAAAGTTGTTGTCGTGATAAAAATATTGATCGTTTATTTCTATATTGACATGCCAAATGTTCCAATGGCTTCTATATTTGGACGTAGAAGAAAATCATTTTAGATGCCGTGCGACGATAAATAATATCGATATGCTACTTCAGTATTTAGAAATATTTAACTATTGCTATTAACTTTACAAGATTATTGGGCCATTAATGGTCACATTGCCAATTTTCGATATTGAATACAGAAGTTTATCTGGTTACATAATTTAATTAATTAGCTTCTAAGTCCCAATAGGGACTTAGAAATTAAATGATGCAACCAGAAATGGAGAGCATTGGTATCAAATACCAATAATGGTTTTATCCGAAAGATAATGGAATAATATTCAATAAGTACAATACCTGATAACGATAAATATCGATATGTACAAATTTATAATTTTCCATGTTTTATTTGGTCTCGACCAAAAAAATTAAATATTTAATATATTATAGTTATCAATTAGCGTTTCGCAAAATGAATACGTACGTACCTGTCAGGAATCATTAAGATTCTGTCATTAAATGATTGGTTACCGGATAAAAGTAACAAAAAAAAGTTATTTGTAGATTTATATGAACAAATGGATTCCAAAATCAGGAAATTTCTTTATTCTGAGGTTGCTTTTAAGGGCAATTATAGAATGAGACTTTAATGATCAAAATTTATTATCGTTATAGCAATAATGAATGTTGGTTGTTGGTCAAATGAGTGGGATCAGAAATTTTAAATACGTATGTGATGACAATCCTGATTGTAAATGGAGGAAACGCAAAGAAAAAAGCAATATAGATTATCATGTAAGTTTATTAATATAATGCTAGTATATTTCTTATTGAATACAGTATTGGAATCTCATCGATTCATTATT